CTGTACCCAGTTGTTTGTCCATTAAGAGTGATCATTCATTCGGTCGATATATTAACTTCAAAGATGAGAGCTATTCTTGTGACCCAGTGTAAGTATACCTTAAATGCAAATTGTTTATCCTTCTTTTGCAGTGTTGTTTGCATCTTCGTTTCAAGTTAAGGTGTGAGGACTCGCTCCCATGTATTTGGTCTATTTTGATTGAAATGTGTAGTAGTTTAGAATACTATGGATCAGATGCAGAGCCTGGGAACTTACTGCAGGAGTTTGGGGATTAGTTTTCCGAGTTTTCTGCGAGCAAGTTGTATGGGGACCTGTGGCAGATAATTTGGCCCTAATTACAGAAATGTGGTGGTAGAATGCAGTTTGGTGAATAGTCAGTAGTTTAAAAGAGTATCTTGTTGAAGGTTGCAATCATTGAACACAGTGCAGGTCCAATTCACAAATGATCATTAAAAAAACGTTCACTGCCGATTAATACCAGTGAAAGCGCAGATAGAACTCTTTTATTTTCAGTAAATACATACATTTCTATCAGTTCCCAGCAACAGAGTGACTTGCCTTTACCCAGCTGGTTATATCTATTCATTAAACAGATGGCTTGTTGTTCTGATCCAGGTACAGGATTGGTCGTCCATCGTTGTTGTTTTCAACTGGTTTCCGTTATGAAACTGAATTTTTAACTAACTATGTGTCTTTCTGTGTACATTTTTTGGTGCAAACATATTGTGAGTTTATTCTTCATGATTCTCCAGAGTGGACCATAAAAGCTCAGAGGTTACCACTGGTCAGTCTTCCAAACAGCGTCAAACACAGCTGGACTCTATATTTATGGTCTGTAAATGTACCATTGCTCCTTTTACATATATTCTGTTCACAATCATCTGCTTCTGCGATCATCTTCTGACGCACTTTTAGACAAGTTGTCAATCTGTACAACATTAATCAGATGTCAGTTATTTTAGTTTAATTGTTTTTTTTATTTAATATTCTGTACCAGCTGCTGGAGGAGAACATTGTAATTTTTTTGAAGAAAGAGCTTAAGAAGATCCAGAGGGCTCTGAGTTCAGATCACCCCGAAAGCTTAGAGAGTCAGAGTGAGGAAGAGGAGTTGTTGGATGGTGAGGACGAAAAGCAGAGGAGGAGCAGCAGAGAGGCATTTCTGACGATCACACTGCACTTCCTGAGGAGAATGAAGCAGGAGGAGCTGGCCGAGTGTCTGCAGAGAAGTGAGAGTATTTCTGTTAAGATTTGATATGCTGGATGTATGATGTTTATGAAATGACTCAAAAGATGTACCAAAATATATCCAGATACTCATCCTTTGAGGAAATGTAATATTTTCTTTTGCTTTTTTTTGTATTCACTAAGGAATTATTGTTCAAGTCTGTCAGCGTGAACTTAAATCCAACCTGCAGAAGAAGTTCCAGTGTGTGTTTGAGGGCATTGCTAAAGCAGGAAACCCAACCCTTCTGAATCAGATCTACACAGAGCTCTACATCACAGAGGGGGGGACTGCAGAGGTCAATGATGAACATGAGGTCAGACAGATTGAAAAAGCATCCAGGAAACCAGACAGACCAGAAACAACAATCAGACAAGAAGACCTCTTTAAAGCCTCACCTGGAAGAGATGCACCAATCAGAGCAGTGATGACAAAGGGCGTGGCTGGCATTGGGAAAACAGTGTTAACACAGAAGTTCACTCTGGACTGGGCTGAAGGCAAAGCCAACCAGAACATACAGTTCACATTTCCATTCACTTTCAGAGAGCTGAATGTGCTGAAAGAGAAGAAGTACAGCTTGGTGGAACTTGTTAATCACTTCTTCACTGAAACCGAAGACGCAGGAATTCGCAGGTTTGATCAGTTCCCGGTTGTGTTCATCTTTGACGGTCTGGACGAGTGTCGACTTCCTCTGGACTTCCTCAACAATGAGATCCTGACTGATGTCACAGAGTCCACTTCAGTGGATGTGCTGCTGACAAACCTCATCAGGGGGAAGCTGCTTCCCTCTGCTCGCCTCTGGATAACCACACGACCTGCAGCAGCCAATCAGATCCCTCCTGAATGTGTGGACATGGTGACAGAGGTCCGAGGGTTCACTGACCCACAGAAGGAGGAGTACTTCAGGAAGAGATTCAGAGATCAGGAGCAGGCCGGCACCATCATCTCCCACATCAAGACCTCACGAAGCCTCCACATCATGTGCCACATCCCAGTCTTCTGCTGGATCTCTGCTACAGTTCTCGAGGACATGTTGAAAACCAGAGAGGCAGGAGAGCTGCCCAAGACCCTGACTGAGATGTACATCCACTTCCTGGTGGTTCAGGCCAAAGTAAAGAACATCAAGTATGATGGAGGAGCTGAGACAGATCCACACTGGAGTCCAGAGAGCAGGAAGATGATGGAGGCTCTGGG